TTCGGACTTTTTCCTGTCTCCGGAATTGGAACGGGTGTTTACCATCTTCGTTTGTCGCTGGTGAAATGGGTCGATACTGTTACCGTTACAGAATAACCGTTACAGCGACAGTACCTGTTACAAGTAACGGTTCCAAGGAACAGTTACAAAATAACAGATCAAAAATGGAAAACAGAACAGGTAAAATAATCTAAGTATTCCTTGACTTACGAAAGAAATAACTTAGTAAACAAGGAAATAAAATGGTATATAAAAATACAATGCACAGAAAATGTTTCTAATTGTTTCTTGACTTACGGAAGAGACAACTTAGAATGAGAAGTAAAATACACAAGAATAAAAGAACAGAAAAGTGTAGAAATATTCCTAAGTGTTTCTTCACTTACGGAAGAAACAACTTAAGACAGAAATATAGATAAATGAAATATGTAAATATGAAACAATGTATGGAAATATTTCTAAGCGTTTCTTAGAACAAAAAAAAAACAAACAAGAGAATCAAATATAGTAAAATAAGAATACAAATATTTGTAAGTGTTTCTTGACTTACGGAAGCAACAACTTATAATAAGAAAATCAAATACAGAAAAGATATGGAAATATTGCTAAGTGTTTCTTGACTTACGGAAGAAACAACTCAGCATGAAATGGTAAAATAATAGAGACAAATATATTAAGAAAATATCTTAGATAAATATCGGAAATAATAATGCAATAATGATTATGAAAATATTTCTAAGTGTTCTTTTGACTTACCGGAAAAGAATGACTTAGGCACACAATAAAATTAACAAGTTAAATATCAGAGAAATATTTCTAAGAGTTCTTTGACTTACCGGAAAGAACTACTTAGACACAAAGTACAAAATCAAATTTATAAAATAGAAAAAAGTAAGGTAAATATTTCTAAGTGTTCTTAACTTACGGAAGAACAACTTAGATACAAAATACAAGAAAAATAAACAATCAAAATAATCAAATAAAATATCAAATAATCAGTATATGAACAAATATAAGTCAAAGTAATATTCTAACCTGAAAAGGTCTGAATATACAATAATAAAATATAAATGGTTATCAGGAAATAAGAAATAAAACAATAACTTAGTTGGAACAATAATAGCACCGACTAGGTCTACAGTAGAAGAGGCAAGCTCGACTGACCGATGAGAGAAATTCCGTCTGCTTTTATATAAACCAAATCCTTTGTTTTACGTAGTAAAAGTGGAATTTCCCTACATCGAGTCAATTAGAAATTCGGATTTGCCCACACTTGGAATTTCCAAGTATTTCTCCGAATTTCTAAATGCGTCCGGCACGGCGGTCAGCTTCTACCTGACACGCCTCCGGAGACATATATATATATATATATATATATATATATATATATATATATATATATATATATATATTTTATGAAAATTAATTTAATTATATGAGAGCACTTATCTTCCCAAACTAATTCTTTTAAATAGAGAGAGCCCCGCGTTGGGCGACAAAATTGTTATGATGTGTTGTTGTTGTATGAGCTATGAGTAAATTTGAATGATATATGTAAGTATAGGGTTTTTATCGCGGTTCTCAAAGAATTAGTTTGTAAGTATTTTTTTTAAGTTATCTTTATTATAACTATTATGAAACAAACCTATCTATCTAATATAAGCAATATCAATTTAAAACAATCTATCTAAAATTTTAAATTCTTACAATTATTAACAAAATTTGGTACCTTCTTTCACTGAACGCCTAAAGTTTTTCCAAAATTAAAGTTGTTATCACCACTCGATATTTTCTTACTCAGCCTTGGTTATCCAACAATTTTAATATGTTTCTTCTTAATTATCTTCACTCACCATATAAATATATAAATTTATATCCTTGTAATTTCCACATAATGTACTTTCAAATCTACTGGAGCTTGTGGTTGTATTATTGAATGCTTACTTCAATGAATTAACTTCATACTATCACTATATTACTGTAGTAATAATTAATCTAAACTATATTAGACTTAATAATTCATTTAACTTAATCAATCCCTTCTTCTAGCTAATAATCTCTTCATTACCTCATAAATTCTTGTTAATTATTCTTTGTAATTAATAATCACATGTAATTGACTTAATAATCCTTGAATTGTTATAACTAACTCCTCAATAATAATCTTGTAACTGATTTAATTTCTTCTAACTAACTCACTTAACTCAATTAATAATCTTCTTTTAACTAAATTCTTGAATTATAACTTTACTGACCCACTTTACTAACTGATTAATCAACTGTAACTGACTTCTAACTGATAACTGATCATACTGACTTCTAACTAATAATAATCTGTACTTGACTTCCTCTAACTGATAACTAAACTCCCGCTCCAAATTACATGGCCTATGTATCTTTTTTCATCGTTCCAGAATAATCTAGCAACAAATAATGTTCGAATCATTCTATTTTTTCTATCTGAACATTCTGGAATAAAATGGAATGGTTTTTGTCTATGATTTATTATGCAAATAGTAGTATTTACATTTCTAGAATTCTCTATGTACAATTTACTTGACTTTAGGCTCTCCAGATCAGAACTACATTATTATATGTAACTTAAACATTTATATGAAATATATTTTTACTATTCTAGATCCACAATTATATTCTAAATTAACATTCCAAAAATAAATAACTTTTTGACTTTGACACTACAGTGTATGTTTGGTTGCATATGCACCTGGCTGACTTAAACATATCTAATATTAAATAAAATAAAATAAAAAACTTCTTAAACTTAATTCTTATGCTAAATTCTTAAAAATACCCTCATATAATTATTTCTTAATGATATTATCTAGTATATAACTTATAAATTATGTCTTTAATTACTATTTAAATAAATTTATTAATTAATATTGTATATCTGGTTGTATATATTTCTATGTTAATTTATTGTATTTCTGTTCTCATTACAATATATATATATATATATAATATAATATATATATATATATATATGAAAGTAAAAGATTGCATTTGATTTCAATCGGAACACCATAATTGCCCTACACGTGTTTCGGGTTATTCAAGTCATCGTCAGGAGCACTTGGGAAAGTTCAACTGCAATGAAATGCAGTCTAGTATTTGGTCATTATAACCAAAATAACAGCCAGGTATGCTAGCAGCGACATCTATACGAACTAACAAGTCGAGAGACCTCTCTGGTAGCAAATTAGGTGAACCGCAAATTCAAAGCCTCTTGCTAGAGGCCTTTAACGACGCTAGAAGTATCCTTTTACTTCGACATGTATCTACGATTCAAGTTTGAAAATTGCCATCTTTTTCGCTCGTTACGTAGAGAAAGACGTTTAAATGAAAGTAAAAGATTGCATTTCATTTCAATCGGAACGCCACCATTGCCCTACACGTGTTTCGGGTTATTCAACCCATCGTCAGGAGCACTTGTGAAAGTTCAACTGAAGTGAAATGCAGTCTAGCATTTGGTCATTATAACCAAAATAACAGCCAGGTACGCTATTTTGGTTATAATGACTCTTTCTTTTCATATTTATTGGACTATTTTTTACGCCATCATATGGTTTAAGTTAATTTCATGCATTTTTTCGATGCGGCAACGTAGCATTGTCTGCAGATATGTGTCGTATTATGCAAAGATTAAGACGAGTCACGAAAAGAATAGCAAGGCGAAAGCACATACACAAGATTCGAGAACGAGACCGACGATTCGGCGAAAAGCGAAGCAGCGAATCAAGTAACATTCAACTATTGTGATCGTTTTTTCTTATGTATATTGTTGATTTCACCAAATGGTTTTCTGATTCACAAGTATATAGTTCTCTATCCTCGTTTCTTCGACCCTGATCATTTACTCTTGTCTAAGAATTACATAGTCTATTACTGATTTTTGATTGAGGTTTGGTTTTGTATATGTATATTTATATATCTTTTTATCTCTAAAGAACCCATTACATATTCTTGTAATAAATTTTTAGAAGGCAGCTAGACTTAAGTCTTCTACAGTTTTGTTTGATATTATCTTCTGAAATGCGAATCATATTGAGGGTCCACATGCAGAAATATTTTAGATCAGGTATATACAAATTCAAAATCAGATATTCACTCACACAACAAGAAATAAGAGACAGTTTGTAGTATCCTATCGACATTTAGAAATAAGTAGGAAGTCATCTACTATCTGTGGTTTACTACTTCCTCAAAGATTTAAAAACATTAATTCAACTACAGCTTTTATAAACCAAGTTAAAGAGTACCTAGTGACCATGTGACCTTATACATTAGGTGAATATTACGAAAGTGTATCTGTGAACGTCCAAGCTGCAGTATAACCAAATTTAATATTTGATTGTATTACGCTGTCTATATTAAGCGTAATATGTATTTTAATGTTTAAAATATTTTTAATGTATTGTTCCATTTTTTGTAATGTTTTATATTTAGAATTTTGTACTTGGCTTGCTATAAACCTTGTAGTCAACTTATAGTCAAGTAAACTATCTATCTTTTTATCTATCTATCTATTCATGTTTTCACCAATAAAACTTCTAAGCTCATGAGAGATACAATCAGTTGTATATGTACATTATTAAATGTATTCTATTTTACAAATAAAAAGTTGTCAACAAAACGTAAAACTAATTTTACATTATTTACCCCAATCAGTATTGATCTCTTTTCTGTTTTTTCCATATTCATTGTACCTTTCGTATCCCAATGTATTATCAAAACTTCTGCGCTAGTATAGGTATTTATACTGAACACTTTCCGACCAATTATGCTCTTTCATTTTAACTCAAAGAGATCCTGTCTAGACTTAAAATAGCTTTATATTAGTCATTCCCATCGGTCTAACTAGTAAAGAACGAAAATATGTTATTATTTAATTTGTTATTTATATTATATTTTATTTGTAATTGATCGTAACTTAAATCTCTTAATAAATTACCGATTAAGATAAAATTAAATATTTTTAGATGCAGCAAGGTAGAAGAACCGCTAGCCTAAAGGCATCTTACGAAGCCATTAATACCGGCGTGCATGGTCATGAATTTGGTATTGGTAGAGAATTAGCTGGAGCTGCGCAGACTGCCATCCAAGCTATCCAACAGGATCATGCAAATAACAAGAAAAAACAAAAGTAAGAAAAACTTAGTTAATAATGAATATAAATTTTGTGGTATAAAATTTTACCTTCACATTTTTAGAAAATGGAATAGTAGTAGTTCATCCAGCACATCTACTGTTACTGTTGTTCAGCCAGTAGTATCTACTCCAGCCGTAATACCACCGCCTGAATCTCCAACCGTTGACACCAATTCCCAGAATGCTGAAGTAGCAGATGGTGAATGGACTTACGATCCAAACGAACCTAGATATTGCCTTTGTAATCAGGTGTCATATGGTGATATGGTTGCTTGCGATAATGAGGACGTGAGTTTTATATTTATTTTAAACGACTTAAATAGAAACGTCATATATGAAATATTTTTACCTGCAATTCGGTTTTAGTCTCATTAATCATAGTAGTTTATATACAAATGCCACAAGAAAATTGTTTCAGATTCATATCTATGGTTCTTTAATCATATCTCACAATAAAGTTGTAATCCAATAGGATTGTCAGTGACTTATTTTCTAAGTCTAAAACACTTAATAAAGTGAGACTAAATACTGATTTATTTATCACCACACAAATTCACCTCTCAATTAAAGCTTTTGCCGCTAACACCTATTGTAGACAAAGCAGAATCGCCGTGTTGCAAAATTTACTATTTACTACTACATGCAATTTAAATATCGAGGGTATTCATATTAACTCAGTCTATACGTACCTTAATACAAGGAGGTGTATCTTCTTCTTTAAGTGCCATCTCCGCGACGAAGGTTGACAATCATCATGGCTATTCTGACCTTCGATGCAGCTGCTCTGAACAATTGCCTTGAGCTGCAACCAAACCACTCTCTCAGGTTCTTCAACCAGGAAACGCGTCTTCTTCCTACGCTTCTCCTACCCTCTATTTTTCCTTGAATTATGAGTCTCAAGATGTTGAATCTTTCGCCTCTCATTACATGTCCGAGATATTGCAATTTCCTTTCTTTTATTGTATTTTCTATTTCCCTCTCTCTGCTTATTCTCCTTAACACTAGTCGCATTCGCGACTCTATCGACCCATGGAATCCTTAACAATCTTCTAAATGTCCACATTTCAAACGCTTCAAGTCGATTTATTGCATTCCGGTTTAATGTCCATGATTCAGCTCCATAGTAGAGTACACTGTGTACATATAATTTAATTAGCCTTATTCTGAGGGCCAATGTCAGATCTTTGCTGCATAAAATCTTTTTCATTTTCACGAAGTTGGTACGTGCTTGGAGGTGTATAGTGACTAACAATTTTTTTATACTGGTTAAATGCTTATGACAACTGTGTAACTACAAATATCAACAAATGCGCAGTAAGGTAAAATGGAAACGAAACACTCGTACATTACATCTGTTGATAAAAAAGATAAAAGTGGTTTTCTGTGAGAAAAAAATATAATCCAGTTGGTATATGAGAAAAATAATGGCATTGCTTATTCTTCTCCTTTTTACATAGACATAACTCTGTCTGTTTTTCATTGTGCCTTCAGTAAGTTGTCATTCCATCGTCTTACTATTGGGGAACCGTCTTTTGTCGTATTTACTACTCTATTTTTTGTCATTCGGCTTACATGATCGTTCCATTCTACACTTCTATTTCTTACCTATTCCTTGATGATCTTTATTATCTTGCATATCCGTCGTATATATGTATGTACTTCTAGCTCTGTCCCATAGTGTCTTGCCAAAGATTTTTCTAAGGGTTTTCTAAGTCGTATTCAGTGTGATGCATAGATATTTTAATTACATGGTTTGTTCTGTTCTCTGACCCTCCAGCTCCAATTTACATCGTAGTAGATTTGTTTTTATAACCATTAAAATGGTACAGCATACGTTTTAAACCATCTTCACGTTGAGAGATTAGTATTGCTTCTACATAGCAGATTATTTTAAATGGTTTTTTCCATGGACGTATAAACATAGATGGACACAGCAATAAGATACCTTTAACACACAATGTTTTGAAGCTTCGATAGAATGTGATGCTTCCGCAATGAGCATAAGCGTGCTTGAATTTTTACTCGCGGGTAATTATTCAGATTTTGAAAATTGGAAGTAGTAATAATGTATATAAACACGTTAAAAGAATTTAAAAAAACGAGAGTTAAACTATTAACAAATCACGTCTTTACAGAAAAATTAAAATACAATTTTATTTGCTTTAAAATTAATACAATTAAATATAGTTGAATTCAAGTTAATTTTTTAATAGGTATCAAAATAATGCTACAATAAAACACCTTTATGTTTTCTCCTAAATTTGCTACCCAAATAGTTCGATCGTCAATATTATTTGGAAACCTACATAGAAAAATAAATGAGTTTTATCCATTTCACTAATTTATTTGTATCTATGAGAAATATTAAATTAAAAAGGTACTAAACAGATCTTTTTTAATCAGATGATGTCTACTCACAATTTAGAAATGTCTACTAATTTCATGAACTTATATCTTATTCAATACATTAATGAACATGAATAAACCCAATGGTACGCCTATTAAAATGTAAACAAACACGCTTCCTCATTTCCTCATCTTAAATAATGTAAATTGTATGTACTTACAAATGAAATGAGAGATCGGGATGTAAATATTTCGTTTATTTTATTTCACTTTTCACAAATATCACTCAAAATACAGCCAAAATATCGAAAAACAACTTTCCTTATCTACTGTAAAAAGTAAACAAACATGGAACAGCATTTGAAGTTTGACGTAGATCCATAAGACAGAGAAATGTAAACAACCGTTGCCATTTATAAATAGTTTTCAGTGCTTCTACATATAAAATAATTGATTGATATCTATTATACGCTATGATAATGCACAATATGTGCACACTTGATATTTTGATTAGAATTAAATATATTAATCTAACCAATAAATTACTATTTTGGTTTGATAGCACCTGTAGAGTATAAAATACGGAGTAATATTTTCAGCGACTCGCGAATAAGAAATTTTAAAACAAAACGTGACAACAGTTGAAGGTGCTGAGAATGGGACCTATTCAAATAACTTTGACGACACAATTTTATGTAAATAACTGAGTCCATCTGTGTTTATACGTCCATGGTTTTTTCCCGTTTTGTATCTTTTTTTAGTTCTTAATTTTTTTTTAGTAGTTAAGTTTAGTAGTTTAGTAGTATCTATGATCCGGTTAAACAATAAAGCACTCAGTGATTCGTAGGTATTCTACTTTTACTTTTATTGTGTTGTTTTTGTAGATATTTTCGATCGTTTTGACTATTCTTACAACTCTCGTACTTGTAACAAGTGGATAACATCCTTTAATTTGACCCCGTCAAATGCCTTCTGAAGGCCTACTAAACCAAAATATACCAGTCAGTTCTATTCAAGTGATTTCTCTTGCATTTGCCTCATTATAAATATAGTGTCGATGCATGATCTTTCTGACCTAAAACCTTGTTATTCTAAGGTCCTTGATATAAGTTCATTTGTTATTTGTTATCACTTAGGTTGTTAATTTTAGTGTTGTGTTTAATAAATTAATTTCTCTATAGTTCTCTGGGTCCGATTTGTCTCCCTTTTTAAAGAGAGGTATTAAGATGCTTGATCTGCATTCTTGTGGTATTCTGGTATTCTGTTTTGTTGTATTATTTATTTTTTGGATTAGTTTTAATAGGTGTTTTTCGTTTGTTTTTTGTCAGTTCTGGTGTTGGTAGTTTCGTTTTTATTAATTCATTTATATCTTTTCTTTGTCTTCTGATCATTCTTCATATTTCCCTTGTGTGTTCCTTTGAAATCGTGTTCTGAGAAGCTCCGCCAGTGTTCCTTTCTTATTTCTTTCTGTCTCACTAAAGTATTCGTTTTATTTTGGATTAGTTTATAGTGGTTGTAACTCTGTTCTGTTCTTTATTAAATAAAGGCTTTCTTCTTTTAACACTTATTTCTTCTCTAAATCATGGGGTTTTCTTTTTTGACATGTTAACGGTCTTTACTTTCTTCTCTCCAAGTGATTCTGTTGCCGCGTTAATTATGATATTTTTGAGTTTTTCTAGCATTCCTCGATGTTAACGTGTTCTAATATTTCTTTATAAGCGTTCCGTGGAGTATGAGTATTCCCTTTTTTCGGAACATACTCAATGTTTTCAATAATCTGCAGAAACACTTTTTGGAAATTACAAAAAAATAGGATTTTACTGCAACATGTAACTTCTTGATAGTACAGATATTGCAGTATGCAAAGAAATTATTTAAGATCTATAAAGAAAGTAAAAGCCGTAGAAACACTTGTTTATCTAGTTTGGACGTTTACGTCATACATTTTCAGTAATGTAATAAATAAAAATGGCGTAAATTACCATTTTATATTTTTAAAACGTTCAGTGCCAATTATGCGCTAGTGTGTCGGTACCTGACTATAGAAGGCGGTGACGCATTTCGCTTTCGTTTGGACGGTACTAATTTAGTTTGAAAGTTGCCAGATCTCAGAAAAAGATCACCTTTAATTAAACGAGACACAAAAGTGTCATGTGTGTGTGTGTGTGTGTGTGTGTGTGTGTGTGTGTGTGTGTGTGTGTGTGTGTGTGTGTGTGTGTGTGTGTGTGTGTGTGTGTGTGTGTGTGTGTGTGTGTGTGTGTGTGTGTGTGTGTGTGTGGTGTGTGTGTGTGTGTGTGTGTGTGTGTGTGTGTGTGTGTGTGTGTGTGTGTGTGTGTGTGTGTGTGTGTGTGTGTGTGTGTGTGTGTGTGTGTGTGTGTGTGTGTGTGTGTGTGTGTGTGTGTGTGTGTGTGTGTGTGTGTGTGTGTGTGTGTGTGTGTGTGTGTGTGTGTGTGTGTGTGTGTGTGTGTGTGTGTGTGTGTGTGTGTGTGTGTGTGTGTGTGTGTGTGTGTGTGTGTGTGTGGTGTGTGTGTGTGTGTGTGTGTGTGTGTGTGTGTGTGTGTGTGTGTGTGTGTGTGTGTGTGTGTGTGTGTGTGTGTGTGTGTGTGTGTGTGTGTGTGTGTGTGTGTGTGTGTGTGTGTGTGTGTGGTGTGTGTGTGTGTGTGTGTGTGTGTGTGTGTGTGTGTGTGTGTGTGTGTGTGTGTGTGTGTGTGTGTGTGTGTGTGTGTGTGTGTGTGTGTGTGTGTGTGTGTGTGTGTGTGTGTGTGTGTGTGTGTGTGTGTGTGTGTGTGTGTGTGTGTGTGTGTGTGTGTGTGTGTGTGTGTGTGTGTGTGTGGTGTGTGTGTGTGTGTGTGTGTGTGTGTGTGTGTGTGTGTGTGTGTGTGTGTGTGTGTGTGTGTGTGTGTGTGTGTGTGTGTGTGTGTGTGTGTGTGTGTGTGTGTGTGTGTGTGTGTGTGTGTGTGTGTGTGTGTGTGTGTGTGTGTGTGTGTGTGTGTGTGTGTGTGTGTGTGTGTGTGTGTGTGTGTGTGTGTGTGTGTGTGTGTGTGTGTGTGTGTGTGTGTGTGTGTGTGTGTGTGTGTGTGTGTGTGTGTGTGTGTGTGTGGTGTGTGTGTGTGTGTGTGTGTGTGTGTGTGTGTGTGTGTGTGTGTGTGTGTGTGTGTGTGTGTGTGTGTGTGTGTGTGTGTGTGTGTGTGTGTGTGTGTGTGTGTGTGTGTGTGTGTGTGTGTGTGGTGTGTGTGTGTGTGTGTGTGTGTGTGTGTGTGTGTGTGTGTGTGTGTGTGTGTGTGTGTGTGTGTGTGTGTGTGTGTGTGTGTGTGTGTGTGTGTGTGTGTGTGTGTGTGTGTGTGTGTGTGTGTGTGTGTGTGTGTGTGTGTGTGTGTGTGTGTGTGTGTGGTGTGTGTGTGTGTGTGTGTGTGTGTGTGTGTGTGTGTGTGTGTGTGTGTGTGTGTGTGTGTGTGTGTGTGTGTGTGTGTGTGTGTGTGTGTGTGTGTGTGTGTGTGTGTGTGTGTGTGTGTGTGTGTGTGTGTGTGTGTGTGTGTGTGTGTGTGTGTGTGTGTGTGTGTGTGTGTGTGTGTGTGTGTGTGTGTGTGGTGTGTGTGTGTGTGTGTGTGTGTGTGTGTGTGTGTGTGTGTGTGTGTGTGTGTGTGTGTGTGTGTGTGTGTGTGTGTGTGTGTGTGTGTGTGTGTGTGTGTGTGTGTGTGTGTGTGTGTGTGTGGTGTGTGTGTGTGTGTGTGTGTGTGTGTGTGTGTGTGTGTGTGTGTGTGTGTGTGTGTGTGTGTGTGTGTGTGTGTGTGTGTGTGTGTGTGTGTGTGTGTGTGTGTGTGGTGTGTGTGTGTGTGTGTGTGTGTGTGTGTGTGTGTGTGTGTGTGTGTGTGTGTGTGTGTGTGTGTGTGTGTGTGTGTGTGTGTGTGTGTGGTGTGTGTGTGTGTGTGTGTGTGTGTGTGTGTGTGTGGTGTGTGTGTGTGTGTGTGTGTGTGTGTGTGTGGTGTGTGTGTGTGTGTGTGTGTGTGTGTGTGTGTGTGTGTGTGTGTGTGTTTTGACACAGAATTGTCGTGTAGCTATTCGTGCAAAATCGGCATCTTCCTTTTGGTCCATAGATAGACCAGTGTCCTACGTTATCTTTCCTAGTGATGTCATGATGTCGACGTCCTAGTAATGTCGACTTTTCGTAAGAGTTACAATTTTTTTGACCGTCTCGTTCAGTAAAGGGGGGGGCCCTTTTTTTATTTTACCTATTTGGTAAAAAGATTCAGCTATATCCTGAAACTTTAGGTTTGTTAAAATTCCTCAAAATAGTAAGTGACTTTATCTTTTAGATTATAAATACACCTTTCCTAAATGTATTCTGAAAATATTATAGCAAAATACCTGTTTTTACTTACTGATTTGTTTATATTAACTGTCAACTTCTGAACAACACATACCGGAACCATAGACGAACGGTTGTCGCTTGTATACCACACCGTCCTACTGTGGTAAAATTCGACGTATACGGAAATTTTGAAGTTTGAAGTCAACGGTTCTTGAGACAATCAAAAGCGCGCTTACAGGGTTAATAATGCAATTTTTCTCCACTGCACTAAGACCTACACCCGATCGACCTCGGAGGTTTATGCCCATATTGTGTTTTGTTTTACATTTATTTTATTATTTTTTATTTGTATATTTTGTTTTATTTTATTTACTTTTTAATTGTATATAATTATTTAATTTTTATTCTTTTTTATTTATTTTTTTTTAATAGCAATTTCCAATTTTTTTGGATGTTAATAAACAATTTTATAGAAAATTATATTACATGTAGGTACATAGAATGGCATTTAAATTGGTGGGGAGAGAATTGGTGCAGTTTTGAGAATTTATCAACCCTAGTTTATTTTTGTGTGATGGATATAAACAGTGTTTGTTCCTTGCGTAAAGTTTTAATGAAGTGTCGATTTGTTGATTTGAACCACGGTTTTCTTTGAATTTTACTGATGAATAGCTTGATAATTTAGTTTGTATTATTATGTCTACCGAACTTTTGCTATTAATATATCAAACTTACTCTTGTGATGGGCATTAATATGGCTCTAAGCCTGAAGAATTGCAATGAGCTATGCAGTGTAAATAGACATTTAACTTATAAGTTTGAATTTTTTGGATATATTTTTATTTGAATGGTAAAGAGCGCATCCAGTGAATTTGTCAACTTTGGAACAATCTGTATAAATACAATCTGACTCGGGCCATCTTTTTAGAATTGTTTGGCAAATAAAAGCATTTATATTAAATGTATTTACATGTGATCTATTATTATGTAAGGGATATGTACCACTAGGTTATAATCGCAATTATAGGAGGGAAGGATATTATATCTGTAAAACTCGCTGTTAAGGCCATTATCGTATTTTGTTATATTGTCATATTTTTTAATAATACATTTATGTTTATTTCGTACGCCTATGGGTAGTTAGCGCGCATATTGTAAGTGTCTGGTCCACCGCGCAGAAAAAAAGATATATATGGCGGAAGGTAGGCAGGCAAGAGGTCAACTTGTTACCTTCACTCTGTCAATAAATGCTATTAAGAATAAATATTACAAGTTCACGAAGTATTAGTTTTTAATAGTAATACAGCTAAAGTGTTACTGTCCACTTTTATTTCAACACACACATTACCATTGGTCTATCTTCGAGCAGGATTGAAGCCAAGATAAGTGAAATAAGAACAAGCATTTTTAAGTTTCAATTTCGCTCAGCAAGCGTCTCAGGTTCAAAATCGCAAAGCAGAGTAGTGAGAGTAGACAGTCAAGTCACCGAGTCAAGTCAGAGAACTACGAACGCAGAGAAGCGACACTCCTTTGATCTTGCGTGGGCAAGCCGCCAACGAGTGAAAATGACAGGATAGCAACCAGCTTACTAATAGTCAGTAGGCATATCACACAATATAAATTCTTAAATACAATTGAGCATTTATGTTGACTTTCAATAAATATGAAATATTAATATGAAATATGAAATACATACAGGGTCGGCTTTTGTTGACATTCTAAATGGTGTAATTATTTTTGATTTACAAAAGGTTGCAAATACATCGCACAACGCAAAGTAATGGTGAAAATCGTATTGATGGAACCATAGATGAAAATACTTTTTGTTTATTCTGATGTTGACATTGATAATACAATAATACACCGATTCTTTTTGGCTTGTGTTGATACAATATATAATTTGTTTGTCGTGGAATTTCCTACTAAATTATCTTTCATGATATAATCGAAAAATAACAAAGCCATTGTAACTGCCACGGAAATTTCACAAACTCTAAAAATTCCAATTCTGTTTGGGTGAGACTCAGAAAGAAGAAACTTTATATTGATATCGATTGTTAATGTCTTGGAAACCTATTAAAATTACATTTTTCCTTTAAAGTCGAATATTGGAGTAAACGATATTCGACTAAAACGAATAAAAAATCAAGAAGTAACTATTGTACGAGTATATTTCTATAAATAAAAAAATGTAATAACCTAAAAAATAATCAAAAAAGTATTACGAATCATTACAAGAGAGCATTAGGAAGATAAAACGAATTTATATTATTGTCATTACACATGATTCGGATATACATAGTAAATCCAGACTTTCAGTTTTAACTAATATTTCGATACAATTTATTTTGTTTACAATAGATTCAGAGTTAATACATACGATTTTTAGTTGATTGGTATTGCCTTTAAAATTTTTTGTAGTATCTAGTTTGCCTAAGCCGGATTTGTAACAATTATTTCTGGTTTTGTTGTTAACTGCGGTTAGTACAATTCTTATACTTGAAGTCAAAACGACGAACCATTGAACCTTCAGGCCAGATACTGGGATTGAGAACTTCATTTTTATAATCCAATGGATATGAAACTTTAAAGCTTGCTTGGTACTCCGTAACCTTTAACTTCTTGAAGTAGAAATGTATATTTGGAGCATTTATCTTTAAATTATTGGTCAAATCTTCCGTTGTCTGTTGTGGAATTTTTTTTTTTGAACCTATTCTCTATCCTTCCATTGTTGGATATAGGTCTCCCCCAGTTCTCTCCATCTTTCCCTATCTTGAGCTGTTCTCTGCCATGTGGGACCTCCTTGTTTCCTGATGTCATCTTTCCACCTCATCTGTGGTCTGCCTCTTGATTTCTTTGCATTGTATGGACGCCACTTTCCGATGGCATTGTTCCATCGTCCGTCTTGGAGACGTTCATTGTGTCCAGCCCATTTCCATTTCAGTTTTGCTGCTTGTTCTATCGCGTCTACTGTCTTTGTTCTGGTTCTGATCCACTGGTTACGTTTTCTATCTCTAAGTGATACACCCAACATTTGTCTCTCCATCGCTCTTTGTGGCCATTTATCCTATCCAAATTGGCCTGTGTAAATGTCCATGTCTGTGCTCCGTAGGTGAGCACCGGTATGATACAGGAGTTATATACCCTGCTTCGTAAGTATAAAGGGATTGTTTGATTTTTTAGAAAATGGAACATGGTTTCCGAAAACGTTTTGTCTTTTTAACTTAGCCCGTTTGGCCTAAAATATACCTATTACAAAGGATTTTTAATTAAATTTTTAATACATGGTATACAGCCAACTACAGGAACGTAGATTCCTTGTGTACTCATTTACCTGTTCTATTTTTTCTGTTTTTATTTTTATTGCCTCTTGGTCTTCCGTGTTTGTCATTACTTTTGTTTTGTTGAAGTTAATTTTTAGGCCTTTTTGCAGTGATTTTTCATGAAGTTCATTCAGCATTAATTCCAGTTCTTGTCGTTTCGAGGAGATCAGGAGTATGTCATCCGCATATCTAAGGTGATTTAGGTATTTTCCGTTAATACATATTCCTCTGTTTTCCCAATCTGTTGATTTTATTATGTCTTCGAGGGTCAAGGAAACAGTTTAGGTGAAATTATATCGCCTTGTCGGACTCCTCGTTTAACTTTAATATTATCCGTTATTAATTTGTCGTCCAGAATTACGGTCATGGTTGCGTTTTGGTAACTATCATGTATCAATTGTCGGTATCTTGAATCTATTCTACTATTGACCAGAGCTTCTTCAACCGCCCAGTGTTCAATGCTGTCGAAAGCCTTTTCATAATCTACGAATGCTAAGTACAGCGGAAGGTTGTATTCATTGGTTTTCTCAATTAAGATTTTAAGCGTATGTAGATGGTCGATTGTGCTGTATCCTTTTCTGAATCCGGCCTGTTCCACTGGTTGGTAGTTATCAAGTTTATAGGTTAGTCGGTTGTTTATTATTCTTGTGAAGGTTTTATATAGTTGTGACAAAAGGGAAATAGGACGGTAGTTGTTTAGGTTTGTTCAGTCTCCTTTCTTATATATTAAGATTGTGTTGGCATTTCTCCATTGTTAGGGTATTTTACCTTCAAACAGACATTTGTTGAACAGTATTTTTAGCATTTTTTTTATCGTGTCTCCTCCTTCTTTTAGCAGTTCCGTCAGTATTTTGTCCTCACCGGCCACTTTATTTCTTTTCATGTCGTTTATGGATTTTTCGATTTCATCTTCAGTTATTTCTGGTAATACCTCTGAGCCAACATTTTGTATTTTTCTCGTGAGATTCTGTTTAGATGATAGTGGTGGGTCATTTTTAGAACTGTATAGGTCTGTATAATATCTTTCTGTGATTTTTACTATTTCTCCTAGATCTCTTTCTTCATTGTTCTCAGCTTTAAGCATGATTAGTTTTCTTTTTCCTATATTTGTCTTCATTGTTTTTAAACTTTTGTTCTTCTCTATGATTTTCTTAATGCGGTCTTCTTGGTATTTCTTTAAATCTTCCTTTATCTGTTTTCTTATGGTTTTATTCAGTTCGGTATACTCCACTGTATTTCTTTTGTTATCGTTCAGTAGTTGTCGTCGTTTTTTTAGCATATCTTGTGATTTAGCGCTAATTTTTTGTTGTTTTCGCTTTTGTTTATTAGCAATCTTCAGGCCTGCTTCTAGTAGTTCTGTTGTTATTTTATCGTTTAATTCGTCTAGTTGCAGACCCTTTAGCTGTGATATGTCACTTCTTTTTAGCTGGTTTATGTATTGTTCTTTGCGTTCTTTAAGAAGTTCTGTATCTATCTCTTTTTTAGATGGTTTAAATTTTTGTCTGTCTGTTGTGGAGTTAATTTTGATTTTGGCTCTAACAATTCTGTAATCACTTCCTACGGAAATCATGTTTATGACCGTAACGTCTTGTACTAGGCTCTTTTCTTTGGATAGGATGTAATCAATCTCATTTTTTGTTAAACCATTGGGCGCGACCCACGTCCATTTTCTCTGTGGTTTTTTATTG